TGGCCCAGGATCGAACATTGTTTCGTTCTGCTGTGCAAGGAGTCGCTATGAGTCGGTTCCGACTCGATGGCACCTGACAACAACAACAACAACAACTGATCTGAGGAAGAAAGATGTGGCAGTTTACTTCTATTGTTGTTGTTAAGTGCCATCGAGTTGGTTCTGATTCATAACGACCCTAGAAAGGGTTTTTGAAGAGCAATTGCTAGGCTTGAACCACCAACTGGTTAGCAGTCCAGTGCTCACCCAACAAGCACCACACCAGGACTCCCTACTTCTATTACAGCCTTGGAAACTACAGAGTAGTCCCACTCTATCTTACAGTGTTTCTATGAGGCAGAATTGACTCAGTGGCAATGGGTTTGGTTTTAGTATGTGCCAACCCCCACACTAGAGCACAAAGACCAACAAAATCATCCAGGTGCTCAAAGAACTCATGACTGCTCTTTCACTGTAGACAAACAAAATTATTAAGCTTTACCCCTTCCTACACATTAAGTTCACCATCTGCTCCTCAGAAACCCTATCCAGGGTCACTATGAGTCAGAACCGACTTGATGGCACTTAACAACAACAACAACAACAAACACATTAAAAGGGTTCTGCCTATGTGGTTTCATCCTCTCCCCACTTCTAAGGAGGGTCCTTTCCTGCCACTGCAGTTCTTTGTGGCTTTTGTGATGGAGGATTGGAGAACAGACAGGATTGAGAAGTCATTTTGCACACATACAAGAGCTGGGTGAGAGAGCAAAGAAAAAGGAAAACAGACTGGAAATAGATATTAGGAAGAAGTTGCTGGAGACAGAGGCACAGAAACACCTCTAGTGTGTGCAGGCTGTGGGACAGGAAAGGGGAATTTTAACAAGCATAGCCATGGTCTGTGTATCTATCCCTTTTGTGATATTTAAGAAATATAAGTGAATGCAGATAATACCCACTCGACCTGGTCTCAATGACTGGATGATCAGAGCTCAACTAGAAGAAGAACGAAGAGGGAAAAAGAGAGTAATCTTTTACAATTTGATGAACTTGACCTACACCTATGGATGCAGTAGCTTAAAAGAGGGAACAAATCTTCACAGTGAGGATCATTCCAACCCCCTGGGGAT